CCATCCATCCATCCATCCATCCATCCATCCATCCATCCATCCATCCAAATTTGACTATTTCCAGTCTGTTTTCAGTTCTCACCTTCTCTGCTTTGGGTGCGAGAACACCCTGGGTGACAACGTGGGAGGGACCAGGTGACGGAGGCTGCAGTGGGCTGCCCGGCTCACCATTGAGGAATATGGCTGACACATTTGGAGGTGTGAGACAGGAGAGAGGCGAGGAGAGGGGGAGGATGGGACGTGAAGCCGGGGAGGACAGAGGGGAGGGGCCTAAGCTGGGTCCTGGAGACACCATGGAGAGAGGACGACCTGACTGGCTCTGGGGACGCAGAGGGGATATGATGGCCACAGAGGGGCGCTCGGGGCTCCCAGCAGGGGGGCTGTGGACTAAAACACAAAAATACATGTGCTGAATAGCAAAAAGCAACATAAAACTAAAAACTTTAAATTTTGAAACAACTGCACAGTGAAATGCCTGGACTTTTACAAAAAGGTGCTCAAAAATGCACAAAAATACACACCCACATAAACACACAGACATTTGCGTGTGCGTGTGAAAAGACTCATGCTTGATGTTTCTACCCACCTGCTCTGCTATGCTCCAGTACTTTGACAAAACCCTCAAAGAGGTGAACTGGTCATGTGATAAAACCACTAAATGCCCAAACTATGCACATACTTTTTTCTGTTGTAATCAAGACCAGATGTGTGTATTTGTGTGCATGTGACAAACACGAAGCAACAAGCGAACAAAAAAAAAAAAAAAAAGTAGCAAGTGGTGGGGAGAGAAATGAGAAGCCCTGTCATTACGCCTCCATAAAACAAAAAGCACAATGATGTCATTCGGATGCGTTGTCAGCCAGTGTGTTCACTTGTGTGTGAGTGTGTGTGTGCGTGGGAGTGCACATGTCTGTATGTGTGTTATTTTTGGCAGTCCCCTCTGAGTGTGTACTCCAGCCTACCCAAAGAGACCTTCGCTGTTATTTTCTCAGAGGAAGAAAGAACAAATACAAAGAAAAGGAGAGAAAGGGGTGCTGAAGAGATGAATAGACTCTGAGTGGAAAGCAAGGCTGATATGATCTAGACCTTGTGCACACACAAGTATGTCTGTGTGTGTGAGCTTGTAGCACAAATAATACAACTAACAGATCAGAGCACAGTACATCTCTGTTCTATGTGTGCACAGCTCGTATGCTAGCATTAATTGAATAACTGATCAGTTGATCGATTTTTCAAAAGATGATGTCATGATTCAGATTTGACTAAAGGTTTTTACTGGACTCTACAAAAATCAATATAAATATTTAACCAGCCATTACATATTTCTGTAAACCATAGATAAATACAATAATTATGTTTAATACACCTGTCATGCTTATTTCATATTTAACTAAATAATTTTATAGCCTAAACATAAATATTTATCCTAATGGTAACAAAGAAGTTTAAGTTTCTAATAAAACTTTCTCAGCATCTAAACTCAGCTAAGAAGGTAACCTCTTCCTATATCATTCCATTTATTCATAACCCTAAATAAGTATAATTTATATCTACACAATGACTGGCATGATTTTATTCTTAATTCTAAACAAGTTGCCTGATGTCAACAAAGTAGTTAGAATCTTTAAATACCGTATTTTCGGTGTTTAAGTCACAGTTTTTTGCATAGATTTGTCAGTCCTGTGACTTATACGCCTAAAAGACTTATACATGTTTTTTTTTTTCCATATTCATAACGCAATTTTTGACAGATGCTTTAAATTTCTAAGAACTGCAACAGCGAGTCCTCCTGTGCACGCTCGCCTCACTCAGCTGGTGCAGGCGGAGGGACGCTGGAGAGCTAGCGGCTCCGGCCGCGATGGATGGCACCGTGCTACCATGGTGAAATGAAGCTGTTTTAACCATTAAATAAAGGCATAACAAACACGATGGGTCAGCGGTGATTCATAATAATTGTGGCTTATATATGTTTACTTCCTCTTCATGGTGCTTTTTTTGACTGATGCGACTTATACGCCGTAAAATACGGTACCTTTTCTTGGTGCCTATTTAACCAAGATGGTAATCGCAAGATTTGTTCCTCAACCCGATCTTGCAAAATTTGCATCTATACAATAGCTCCTTTGACACCCCCCCCCCCCCCCAAATAAAAAAACAACAACCCATAAACAAATATAATTTTGTTCGAAAACAGTTTGCTTTTATAACAAACTTTATTGGTGCCTAAATTCAACCAAGAAGGTAAACTCTGCCAAAGCAATTAAATATTTTATTAAATCTAAACAAATATTACATCAATACAATATCTTGCAGAATACTGGAATTGCCAAGACAAAAACCAAAAAAAGTCATAAAAGCATTTTTTAACTGCATATCACAGATGACTTTTCAGTAATGCACATAGCACAAACCTTTTTGAGGCATTTGTTGTGAACATTAAGAAATTAAACATTATTTGGTGTTATAATAAGGACATTTGTAATCGTCTCCACTATAGATACATGTATAATGGCACGTTTTACTTGGGATTTAGTAATAAAAAGGATAAAGAGGATAAAACACATTTAAATTCACATCCATTTTCATTCAGCCTTAACAGGATTCACCTCTTCACTGCAGTTTCTCTTTGGTTTTAATAAATGATTATTTGGGTTTTGCAAATATAATCTTTTGTACTTTGTTTTTATGTCTATGTTTTTTTTTGTTGTTGTTGCTTTACAGCTGCACTAAACAAGCACACATGAAAACGAGTGTTGCAGAAAGGCTTCTTGCAGAAGTGCACATGCTGTAGTGGGTACCTGAATTAATGACTGTTCAATATTCCATTATTCTGTAATCAGGGGCTAAGGTGCCAAAATGCTGCAAGGTCCCAAATGATCTGGCTCCTTAAATCCAGTAGCCAGAGCAGAGCAGGCCAATGAGAAGACAACAGACGAAGCATCTCTGAGTAATCTGTTTTATTGCTTTATCTAGATGAATATTTGATCAGCCTTTTCTTTGATAAAATATATTTTAAGGTTGAGTTTGGCTGTTTTAGCTGCAAAGCTGAACATGTTTTAAATGTGTTTATTTGAGTTTATAAAGGAACAGCTTATCATAGTCGTCTTCCCAATGTGTCAACATCAATACGCTTCCTGTACATATCCTGGTCTGGTCGTGATAAGCATGCGATTGTGATGTGTCGTGACTGGACCGAGCTAAAAACAGACGCTTGAGGTTTTTTATCGAGTCAAATATAAGCATGCAGAATTCAAAGCATGTTAACGAGCATTTTTGTGTGCAGGCTTCTGCTTACCCAGCTGCATTGAGGTGCGTGCCTGGTTAACCGTATGCTGACTGGACCGCAGGCAGTTCTTCAGCTGAGCGGCGGCGGTTTGTGGCGAAGAGGCGGGGCTGACGCCATTGCTAGAGTTTGCCAATGTCGTGAGCGGGGTGGCGGGACGAGACGAAGAGGGGCCTGGGGATCCTGGAGATGAAGGGTCTGAGATTTTACTCGCCACTTGAGTGCTCCCACTTCCTCCTCCACCAACTGGGCTGGACAAACATGAGCCACGAGTAGCATTAAGTCCGAAAGGAGCCCTTTAAAGAAAACAGCAGGGGGTAGGGGCACAATTATTTGCATTTGATTTTAACTGATATGCTGAAATTTTCTGAGAGTAATCACTTGCATTTTCTTTTTTTTACTTCAGCTACAAACTCAGAAACAACATGATGCAGTTTTTCCCCAATTGTATCAGAATTTAGCTCAATACATCAAATTGTATGTGCATTCACATATGCCAAACTCAAGAGCCGCGGGCCAAATCTGGTCCCCCAAGATGATAATTTAAATATAAAATATTGTATCTCTTCTAATTTTTCTTAAAAAAAACCTGATAAATGCATAAATTACTATAGACTTCTCTTGCCAACTGGCTAACTTTAAAGCCAGAAAGACGGTTGGATCATTCTGTCATTACTGATTCTGAGATGGAAAGAGTAATATAACATCAAATGAGACAGATCAAGCTCTTGTTGATGAACCTGCAACTAAAAAAAAGATATCAGGTATCTGATTCAATTTAATGTATCAGCTGAAAGTAGCTCGTGGCTCTGACAAAGGTTTTAAATTTTGGCTCCTTTTGGTAAATGAGTTTGACATCACTAAGAGCAGACATGGGCAACTTAAGGCCCAAGGGCCAAAAGTGGTCCTTGGACAATCTCCATCAGGTCCCCAATATCCTTAGTTTAAAAAAAAAAAAAAAAAATCTTTTTAAATTAAGATTGATTTTTGTTTTTAAAGCAGCAATTTATCATTGAGTCTTAAGGAAATTTTAATTAAACATACGATGCAAAAGTAAAAAAACAAACAAACAATTTTAAAGCCAGTGTGTTTCCAGAACTAGACTCAACCTTAAAGACTTAGAAACACAAACGTATGTTTGTTTTGCATAGCTCTGATAACATGTTAAGCTAACATGTGTAATGCATTGTCACAAGAGCCAGTTTACAGAATATGTCTCATATTCCTAAAGGATTTTGGAAAGACTTGTTTTATAATGCATGTTAACTATGCCACAATAAGAAAAAGGTATTCTAGATTATCTTTTGTAAACTTTTATTTTCCAATTCTCTATGCGGCCCTTTGATTGCTTTAAACTAGGGATATACAATATTATTGGCATGGTATCAGTATCGGCCAATATTAGCGTTAAAGTTCAATATCGGACATCGGCCATTCCATTAAAATAACTCACCGATATGAAAGATGCTGTTTTTGTATGACAACCTAATAACAAGGATGCCTGCAGCAGCAGCACAATGTGATGACGTCACGCGTGCCAACCTGATCTTACGGCGGAGAGGAAAAGTCAAAATGTCGGCGGTGTGGAAGGGTTTTTTTTTTGTTGATGATGTTGGATTCTGAAGATTTTTGTACTACGTTGAGCCTCGCTACATCTTCCCCAGTCAAATATATTTTTCTGGCGTAGCCTTACCCGAGTTACAAGCCGTCATTTCCGACGTCATTGAGAAGCTAATAGCCGATAGCACTTGGGTGAGTTTTACCATAGACATTTAGACGTCATGTTAGCCCTGTTAGCATGATTAGTCTTACCACACAATGGATAGACAAAAAGTTTGAACTTAAAAAGGCTGTCCTTCATGCACAAGAGTGCAGAGGATCCCTCACTGCAGTAAGAGGGCTATGTTCCGACAAAGGAAAATATGTAGAATATTGGTATCGGTTATCGGCCAAATAAGTTTTAACATATCGGCATATTGAATATTGGCCAAAAATCCAATATCGTGCATCCTACTTTAAATGTCTTGATGTGGCCCTTTGGAAAAAAAATAAATGTTGCCCACCTCTGCCTAAGAGCCTCGACGAGCTGCTAGCGTAGCTGTGGGAAGTCTTAGGCTTGTTAAACAAAAATAATTAATATTGATGCAGTATTTTCTTTGTAGTAGCAGAGCAGAGGCTGCAAACAATACCATAAAGCTCAGTCAGAGTGAGTAATGTCAGAACTGTTATCTGACTGGTGGCTCAGCACAGCGTAGCGTCTCTGCTGCATCATATATGTTGCTGCAGACTGCTCATGTTTCTGTCTGCAGAGTGCTGAATGGCAGAACAGTGAACTGAACATTATCGACACAGCGGTATTCACACTCTTATGGCTGCCCATCGACTTCCCGTCAGACACATGCAGAGTTATGGCTCTTTGCATGCCTGTATGATTTTGAGGTTTCTGTGGTAATTATGCATTCTACCTTTATGCGCTTTTGTGTATGACTAACACGGATGCTTCTGCAGATATTTTTCGTTGAGTTTGAAACTTACGTTTTGTTTTTTTTATACAGTTAAAGGATTAAAAAAAACAAAACTTCATGAGATCCACATTTGAATTACCGGTAAGTGGAGCAGCGGGCCTAAAGTAGATTTATCTTTCTTGATAACATCCCACTCACGCATTGTTTTATTGAATCCTGTCTATCTGACATTCAAACAAATGTGTGCGTGCATGTTTGGAAGCCTCTCATTATCATATAGAGAAATTTCTAAGCTGCACTGCAGACAAAGGAGGGGGAAGTATAAGGAAAGGGAGAGTGGGGGAAGAAGAAGAGAGTATGCTTGCGTAAAAATAACAAATTGCCTCTCATTTGATTATACGCTCATCCTGCCTTTCTCTCTCTTGCTCCCTGCGATTGCATAAGCGCAGGATGTGAAGCAGCCATTCATATACACTAGAAGGAAACCTGCTGTTTTTGTAGCATTTTCACCTAATTGTATCATTCCTTTTGCTGCTCGTCCACACTCTGTTGCTTTCTTTTATTTCTGTGCTACACATATGATCTCCCACATTTCTCTCCATTCCTTACTTCTTTTGCTCCTCATGTCTGCGTCTACATTTACGACTGTTTATTTAACATTAGAACATCATGCTCTCCTTATCTTTTATGACCTCGTGTTTTACATTTTTTCTCAAAACCAAAAAAATGTAATCATGTCGTTCAGTTTCCAGCTATCTCACTCGGTTTTCTCGGCTACATTAATGGAATGTGAGAGAAATGTCTGAGGGAGAATACAGATTAGACGAACTGTAATGGCAAATATTTTTATTGCACTCTGAAAAACATGTATATTGGAAAATATTTAAGCATCTTTTCATTTACATCAGCTTTGAGAAACTATAATGTTATATAAACCTTATCTGCATGAATTTGATTTAAAACACCGGACAGCTAAACGTTGATGATTAGGCACAAAACAAGACATTTATGTTTTTTTTCATCTATTTTTTCATTTAAATCTGTGCAGAATTAGTCTTTTTCAAGTCTGTGACCAGTTAACTGTTGCTTCACCAGTTTCAAATGGCAGAAAGCAATCATTGGATATAAAACTATGTACCATATTTTTTGGACTCACACTTAAAATACTTTCATTTCCTCAAAAATTGACAGTGAGCCTTATGTGTCTTATGTATTAATTCTGGTTGTCTGCTTACCAACATTGAACCAATTTTATGTGGTACACTGCGCTCAAAAAACACAGGAAGTCTTATTGTCGCGGTTTTATTTCGCTTAATGCACCTCATAATCCGGTGCGCCTTATAGTCCGAATAATATGGTAACTGATTAAATTTTAGAATCAAACCAATTCAAGATAATGACCACAGACAACTCACTTTAAAAAAAACACAAAAATGATTAAAACAGTTAAATTTACAGATATTTAGCTCAAATTTGGTGTGGTAGTAATTGAGTCAATATAATATATTGCACCATATTTTGCTTAAAAAAACTGGCATTGACCGTTAAAGTCAACCCCATTTGCCTGTTAGCAAAAAATGTTGTAATCTACTCAATGCATTGCATAGAAACTTTAAAAAATATTATCGCTGGATGTACTTCTGCAACTTATTAACTTTTGGAGTCAGTTAATTAAAGATGGATGCTACAGCCAGTCAACTTTTTTCCAGCACAAAAATAGATATGTCAATTAATTTAACAGACAGTGAGCTTAATTTTGATGTGGTAGTAGCTGAGAGTTGTTCATAAAACCTACTCTAAGTGCTAACACATCTTATGATAAAACTTGAGATTGTTTGTCATATTGTTCTTTTCAAGTTTTGACTAAACCAGCTGCAACTCTCATTTCTCAACATAATCATTTCTTAGTCTAAAACTCTGGCATCAAAGGAAATGCATTCCTTTATGAAATGCTAGGCCTCTAATTCTGATCTGAAACAATAAATTACAACCACTGTGGCGCCTTTGTGGGAGATCAAATTCAAGGGTGCTATATTTTTGTATTACACCGCTGTCTGGGTCTGATTCAAATTTATTGAGTGATAAAATAGAGGAAAAAGATTACACTTGACTGCGGCCTCTTTATTAGACCACTGTGACCCATCATGGATGAAATAACGTGGCTACTACTTTTGACGAACTGTAGTAAAGAAATCATTTTACAGCCCTACACTCCAGCTCAACTCACCTGGACACGGGAGTGACGTAGTTTCCCGGGAAGACTCCAGAGGCAGCGCTTCTCAGTGATGTGCCTTTAAACCATCCGTCTTGACACTTTTCTGTCACCCGGTACATCTCCCCTTTCCTTAGCTCCAGCTCGTCAGCTTTCTGAGGCTTGTAGGCGTATAGGGCCAAATATCTAAACAACAAAGTGTGGGTAAAAATATTCAAATGGTCATCAAATTCAGATTTTTTTTTTCCCAGCTGACTCTAAAATCATGCATGTACTTACAACTCACAATACATTTTCCAGCTTGTCAACTAACCTAAATAAGTAAATTATCTAAATTAGCGAATACGATTAGAAATTTGAACCATTAATATAAATGTACTGTGGTATCACGAACATGGCTCAAGAATGAAGAATACAGAATTATTCTTCAAAACACAGTTTCTAAAATGGTCACAAAAGTTAAAAATAAAGTGGTAAAAGAAACAAGGACTTCTACTTTTTTTTTCTCACTACTGTTTAAATGTAGAAAGAGTCAAATGATAAAATTCTCATATCAGAACCTACAAGTGGATCTTTGCCACTGAGTAAAAACACGTCCGTCAGGGTTTCCCACCATTTATCATCTATTTTCCAACAATCCTTCTTGTCTCTTGCTATGCATATGCAATGTTTCAAGTCTGCTTATATCAGTTGCTTTTAGAATCAGAGTATGGAAGTGAGTTAAATTTTGTGAATGTAAGTGATAACAGTATAAAAAAATATTAGTACTTGTTACGATTGTTGGAGCATCTAAATATCCAAACAGCATAAGGTGGTTTCTTGAAGTAAGACTAAAAGCAAAATGTTTCACTTAATAAATGCATTAGGCCATTAATATGACCACTCGAGGCTCACTGAATGATACTCCCTTCTGAATAGTTCAGCATCCTGTAAATGGGTGCCTTAATCAATAAATCCTTGTTTACCAGCTAATAAAAGGAACGTGGTATACTCTATTGTTGTGTACTATATTTGACTGTGTAAAGATTATTCTGCTTGTGTAAACACCTCCTGTCGAGGGGAGACATTCATATTATGTAGCACAAGACTGGATGAAAACACAGAGTAAACAAGCCTTATACGTGCTACCTCCCCGTTACCATGGTAACAGATGTGGGGACTGTCTCCCATCTCCCCATGGCAACAGGAATAGTTGCCGGGTCAAGAAGAAAACGTCGGACCTCATCAGTGGGACAAAGCCATTCTGTGTGGGTATGTGTGTGTGTGTCATGGGTGTGTGTGTGTGTGTGTGTGTGTGTGTGGGGGATGTTACTTGGAAGGTGATAATATTAGGGTTGACAGTGCTGCTGTAAATGACTCACATCGTGCCAGAAGGACGGTGATTAATAGAGAATTCCAACAGATTAGAAAATCTAAACTAGTGGCGACTTTCAGTGATACAAACCACAAATCTAGCCTTTATAAAATAAAATAAAAGTTTATAAAATAAAATAAAAGAATAAAAGTTTCTAGCCTTGGGGAAAAAAGTAACAACTGGCTACAAGTTGGGAGTTTAGGAGCAAAATCCAACATTGAACTTTTCTCTCCCCTGCCTCTAGGGAATGCAATGGTAACCGTGTAGATGTACTCATAAAGATGTTTCAGTACCACAGTACTGACACAACGTTAAACCAGTGTTACCTTCACCTCTTAGGCTGAGCAGTCATTAAGAAGACAAATGGTGGAGGTGGAGCATTCCCAGCCATGTGGAACTGTTTAATTATTTTCTAATTTTTGCCCAGGTCCACACACTCCTTATCAGTTGGTTGTGTTAATACAACATAAAGTTGCTAAATGCCAAAACACACCAGCAGCAGCAAAAAAAGAATCTCTGTTATGAGAAACATTTGAGCAGAAAAGGTCCCTGAGAATAAATATACAGAGCTTCTCATCAACCTTAGAAATATGTCCATGGCTAAAGGACTTATTTGATTATGGCCATTTTTTTAATGAAAAAAATGTGTAAAAAATATAAAATTTTAAATATACAATCACTTGGAACAGATTAGATTTATAATTAAATGTAAGAAATGCAATGGCATTTGTTAATTCTTGTATCAGTACTCAGTATCAGCAAGTACTCAAATGTGTTTATACTTAGTTTAAAACAAAGTGGCATTGGTGCATCCCTAATCAGGATGTTTGTATTCACAATTCTATAAGAAAATATTTTGTTTTATTTATGCAGAGCAAAACATGCAAACCTCATGCTGCCAGATTTTATTGTGTCTTAATTATTGCAGGTTGTCAGGTTTGCTATGAAACCAAAGCCTCGCACAATTTAGTGAACTGTATTTTTCCTTTCTAAAGGGGATTTCATCCTTGACTGGTGAAGGAGTAAATGTGGTTGCAGAGGTGGTGGAACATGGCCAATATCTCTGGGCACAAAAGCAGCCAATATGTCTAACGCTGTCAGAGGGGAGTTTTGTGAAATCTTGCTTGAATCTCACATGCATTCATTCTGGTGGTGGAGAGAGTGGGCAGGTAGAAAAAAAGGTCTTCACAAAGGAAGAAAGAAAAAAAACACATTGCAGCTGGATAAGCTGACAGCACAGAAGGGTACTCACATGTTGAGTGGTAGCTGCACCTTGGCATGGGCCAGCAGCTCTGATGTTAGAGATGCCACTTTGGGGGGGAGAGGTACACCCACCGAGGAGGGGGACGGACCTGGAGGAGATGCATCCTAAAAACATGCAAACTGACAAACTGAGTGGCTTGCCTTTAAAATAAACCATTACCTAAAACAGCTGTTTCAGCAGAACTGGCATTATTCAGAAACAGTGAAAATACAATGAACCAAATATAAATGCAACCATCAGCCTGAACTGCAACAGCAACATGTTTCCTGCTGACAGCTATCAAAAAATAAATGATTTTATTTGTATCAAACTCAGAGTACAGCATTCAGAGCAACAAAGAAACTAACGTTCCCTAGGCGCCACTGTGAAACACCTCCACCTGAGCATATTTAATGTATCTTTTATTTATGTATGTAATTTTTATCACTTGCTGCTTAAAGGTGAAAAGATAATGTGTTTGCCTATGTTCGTGTGTGTGTGCACGTCTTCTTGTGTCTATTTGTTCCTAAACTGTTTCATGACAGACCCCTGACTGAAATTTCAAGCAATATTCAATAAATATAGATCCTTTCTTGCAATCTCAGATCCTTAAATCTGTTAATACTTTCCACTCCAAGAGCTCGACTGGTGACAGGAGGGAGGGCTTTTATGGTCAGGCCTCCTAATTTGTGGAATGCTCTTCCTCTAAATATTAGACAGGCCTCTTCATTGTTTTCTTTTAAAGGATTTTAATATCTGAATTCCTTCATATTTTTATTTTCATTTTGTCTTATATTGTTATGTATTTTAATTGATTTGGTATGCTTTTTGTGTTTCTGGTGCCATTTATGATGCTGTTTTAATTGATTAATGTGAAGCACTTTGTAACATTTGTTTAAAAAAGTGCTATAAAATTAATAACAACAACAACAACAACATCAACAACAATAATAATAATTATTATTAAAGTTCAGTCAGGTCATCTGGAGGGTTTGGTTTTTGTTGAGACGCATCCTTCATCCAAAGGACTTCATCAGTCCGAGGAGCCACAACAAACTGAGTCCCACAAGCAGCACACTGACATAGTGGACCAACCAGTTTGCTGGTGATAAGATGGTTTCTGGGGCCCTCTCTCTCCCCCATCGACTCCTTTGAGGCAGCCATAGCCAAAGTGAAGGACGAAGCGTTAAAACAAAAATGAAATATCTTATTTTGTCTATCACTACCTCAGAGGAGTCGACGAGGGAGAGGGCGGGCCCCAGAAAAAAGCAAACTGGTTGGTCCACTATGTGAGTGTGCTGCTTGTGCTTGTGGGACTCAGTTTGTTGTGGCTCCTCGGACTGATGAAGTCCTTTGGATGAAGGACAAAACATCTCAACAAAAAAGAAACTGTCCGGATGACCTGACTGAACTTTGTTGGATTTTCTACCTGGATTACTGAGCAAGAACTTTGATCTAAGCAATATTAAATTATGTAAAATCTTTGTTTAATATTTAGGCAATAACTATTTGCAGTCATATCAAATATTTCATGCACCACTGAACAGATTCTATTGAAACATTCAGGAAGTAATCACTGGATGCACATTTACCACTAACTTTTCGGAGCCGACTCAATTAAAGACATATATTGTGCTAATTTAGGGTTGTAGCTGAGAGTCATAATGCAGGAATTCACTCATAGCAATATTTTCAAAGTTTGACCAAGGCTCTTAGGCTAGATCAGAGTTATTCAACTAAACTGCTCAGTTACTGAAAGCTAAGAGCTCAGGGGCCGGACATCCAGCAGTTATTGTCATTAAGTAAGTTTGTTTTATGGTTTAAAATCTAGTTTTCTTTAAAAATGAACACATTGGTGGGCTGAACTGAGTTCACCTGTTGGCCTGATTTGGCCCCTGAGCCACCAGTTGAATAGCCCTGGGCTACACCTTTAGCACAACAGCCAGTTACATGCACTCCTGAAGGAATACTAAACTTATTAATCATATATTTAAAATTAAATAACAATCTTAGCCTCCATCATAACACTGTTGAACACATTATAGTAGCAACTTGAGAACTTCTTGTAGCCTGTTAAAAAAAAAAAAAAACTGAGAATAAACATATTTGAATCCCCTAAATGTCCCATTTAATACTCAGCGTGTGTTTGTGTGGACACACCTGAATGCGTGCGGCAGCTCTGGGGTCCGAGGAGCTGATGAGGACTGGGTGAGAGATCTCCATGCTGTGTCTGTTGTTGAACTGGGCAGCTCTCTGGCTCACAGATAGTGCAGAAAATGAATGTCGCTTCTTCGCGTTTTTCTTCCCCTCGCCTCTCCTGTGGCCAGAGCCATTTCCATTAGACGGGGAGGCAACGGGGGAGGGCCCGGGGGAGCAGGGGCCCAGTGGGGCTGGCTCAGAGCTGGGACCTGGTGCATTAGCTGGCATTGGTTTGTCAATGTCCATCAGCTGCTTTGCTGTTTCATTTAACTGAGAGGAGTGGAGGGCAGATGGGGGAGGGAAGGACAAAAGAAAAAGTAGCTCAGATGTTAGATGTCACAACTGAGTGGTTCACGTACATCTGCTACATACACAAGTGTGTAAGTGTGACCTTTTCTGCCCGAGTCTTGTTGGCAGCTGCTTAAACCTGCAACAAAACAATCATCACTTACAACAGCTGCACCATGTAATGCTCTCACTGTTTCACACACAGAGGTAAGCATCCACCTCACTTATCTAATTTATTATATTCAAATGATTTACCACAGCAGCAAAGCTACTGCGGATTGTGCCAATATTTACAGAAAACATAAGAAACGGCTGTGAAAGCTGTGCTCAGAGGTGACGCCTCTGGGAGCAGAACGTATGTGGAAAAAAATAAAATAATTTACTTGTAATTTATCTGGAATGATAAAGGAAACAATTATCTGAGCATAATAAAATCAAGTTAGGTAATTATGAACATAACAAATATGTTTACAAAAAATAAATGAGGATAGAATAAGGATAAAGCCAAACCTGCTACGTTATAAGATCTCACAATTCATTCTGTTTTATTCCTTTTTAAATAATTTATAGCCATGTTCTTCACCCTTATTCTGTCTGGATTTAAAGACAATAAAAAGGAAAAAGAAAAAAAAAAGTTTTCTTTGTGGCCAGGAGGTTCACTTGGCACTTGTGCAGAGGTTACTGTTCTGGGCAGCCTTCTGCTCAAATGCCTCTTTCTTTGAACAGATGCCATTTTCAGCCGTTTTAAGGAGTTGGGAAATAAGGAAATGATAGTAGATGGGGGCTGTAACAAAAATAAATTTGTATTTTCAGTATGGGCTTTTGGATTTGGCATACAGTTGTATAAAACAAATGCAGCTTTGCTTTAAACCTGTTTGTGCAGAATGTTTGAGTAGAGCTCTAAGTTCTGACACATGAAGTAATACTGCAATATAAACGCATGAAGAACGCAGACGGCCTAGAGCTCGAGGACCTCGTAACTATCTGTTTGGGAACATTACTGTTGCTTAGTCAACTGCAGTGATAGCTGAGAAAAAAAAAACGAAATAAAGCTTTATGTTGGCATTGTACAATGATAAGGTATGTAGCTGGATCCACATTGAACTTAATCACTTAAAATTAGGGATGCACGATATTATCAGCAAGGTATCGGTATCGGCCGATATTAGCGATAAAGTGAAATATCGGACATCGGCCAATCCATCTAAAAAACCCACCGATATAAAAAGCTTCTGTTTTAAGTGAATTTGTAATTTAAGAAAATGTCATATATATATATATATATATATTAATGCACAACTACTTATCCACTTTTCACTTGTCGCTTGTGAACAGGTTGAGTTTAGATTTGTGAAAATTCACAAATTTGCACTGTTCGGGTGTTGTCATTGTGCTAGAGATTAAAAGTCATGAATAAATTTGACATTAAACATAATCCAAGTTGAAGTGTTACATAATTTTCAGCCCCATTGTTGGCATCTGCATTTGGTAGCAGGCCAAACTGACAAAGACCATGCAGAATAACGTAGTATTTTATTTCCACAGCAGATAAATCTATGTAGTCTCTGTAAATAGGTCTAGGAAAAAATATATCTGTATTGGTGTTGGTTATCGGCCAAATAAGTTTTAACATATCGGCATATTGGCCAAAAATCCAATATTGTGCATCCCAACTTACAATAGCATCACCTAAATGAAGAAAAAACAAATTACCAAACCCAGCTACCTGTAGCATTCACATAGCCCTAATCAATAATTCAGACTGACCAAAGCCATAACAAATGCCACAGGAGTCGCTAGCAGATATGGGATTATATTTTGTTGTATAAATAGCTTTTTTTTTTTAAATGCATAATGGTAATATGACTTATTTCTAAAGTTACCCATTATCAGCATTTTAGTTACCAATTTATAGCTTTTATGACCAAGTACAAGCTACAGGTGTCCACAACTTATCCAAAGCTTCTGTTTTATACCAATATGTCTCTATCTGCTGTAAACTTCTACGGTATGTACCTAATGCCATGGTACCCAACCCTGGTCCTTGAGGAACACCATCCTGCATGCTTCAGGATAGCACTTAGCACTTTGAGATTTTTGTTAATGAGAAGTGCGTTACAAATTAAATTCATTATTATTATTATTATTCAGTTGTTTTCCCACTCTAACATGCATGAGTCAGTTATTTAATGACTTCAAGTTCTACAGATGTCTGTTAATCACCCAATTTAAATCAGGTGTGTCAACGCAGGGGAACAAGTAAAACATGCAGGATGGTGCTCCTCAAAGACCACGGTTGGGAACTACTGACCTAATGTATGCTTTATACCATATATTAATTTTATTCCCTTAATGTAACCATACCAAAAATGTTATGAACTGTGATGTCAGACCTGGAAATTTTGTATACAATTACACCCCAAATAATAAACCATCTGACAAATTCACTTTGGAAACGATTTTAACATTTCCATAAAAAATCTGTTCACTAAGTTTTTGAGCAGTGTCCATGACACTGCTCAACCTGATTCAACTAAAGAACGAAGACCGCCTCTCATCCTAGTTTCATCAGTCTCAACTTTACATTTCATTTGCGTCACTAAAAGAGCACGAAGGGAATTAGTTGGTAAAACAGTCAAGCAACAGATTTGTCCGTTTTACAGTGGGATGTGGTGAGAGCTTTAGGATTTCAGTAACTTCAGTGGGAAGCAAACAAAAACAAACAACAACACCACATAAAGGCAGCACAGCTCTTACAGTTAGTTTGATTTGACTGGTCTTAATGAGAAATTTGATTTATTAATGGCTAGTAATTAAGTTTTGAAACATTTGGCACGAGGGAACACAGATCAGTTTGCATATGAATAGAATAAACAATTTAAAAAGAGTCAGGGAGTTCATAATCTGAGGGTGCACCTTCTCGTGTACCAAGTTCTCTTAGCACTAAAAACATTTACGACTTATTGGATCTAGCTTTGAGGCTTGATAATGGCGCAGCCATTAACATCGCGCAGGAGCAACACTCTGTGTGTGTTCAGAGTCTGAACGACTTCTGTCTTAGGCATCTTTCACAGTAATTTCATAAACCAGAGGTAACATAGACACAGTTACAGGAAAATGAGGATGTGTCATGCAAATTCAATCAACCAGGAATTTGCATTATTATACCGAACTGTGTTTTGTGGGTGTGAGCACAACACTTTTAAGGAGGAGTTTAAGTAAATCATTACTATTTTTTCGTATTTTTCTCTTTTATGATAAAATACAAATATCATCATTGGTTGTTTTTGCAATACCGTTCCCATTAATTAAGCTGCTACATAAAACTAACATACCAGATGCCTAGAAAAATAACACTTTACATGCATTCTACAGGCAGAAAAAAAAAATCACATTAATATGATGTCTTTTACGTCTTCATCTGTAACGTTTGCGTTTATCTTTGTGCATTTTATACACACTTCAAATTTGATATTATACCATGTAAAACAGTTATTTGATATAATAATTAAATTATTATATGATTATATGTAGCTTTGTTGTGAGTGTTATGACTTGCTCTATGTTCTATTTTGATTTTTACTGTAAGTACATATACACATACAAACAATATGGGGTAAGAAAAATCTACTAATGTTCACCACTGGCTTTAGCACATCAACAAATTTTACAATGCAATCATGTCTCTTTAGTAAAACCTCAAAAATCTTAAGAGATCCCTGAAGAGAAATTCAGGAATCAAATTATTTTTCTGTTAATGTCTTTATGTGTATTTTAGTGTAGGCATGTGTGTGTGTGCGTGGGGGAGCATGTATGTCTACCGTGTCTAGATTCAGTGTTGGTAATGTTGTATTTCCATATTAATATATATGCTAATTAAAGCCAAATCATATGCTAATGAGCACGATGGATTGACGCTGCAGATATAATTCAGTTCTAAACTCTCAAGAGGCTGACAAGAAGACATACATAAACCAATACACTCACACATACACACACATGATTAAAAGGTCAGTGAGGAAACACACACCCTTACTGGGTCACCTATGCACATGCATTAACCATGAAAACATCTAGAAGATTCATGTCACACAATACTCCCACAAACGCACACTCTGACACACAAGTTTGCACTAATCATTACAGTCTTAGTTTCTCTGCTACTACTAAATGTGGCTGATTATGCTGGAAAGGACATGAGTGAGTGTGTGTGTGTGTGTGTGTGTGTGTGTGTGTGGGGGGGGGGGGTGATTTTGGTTCCTCCTCAAACAAATTATCAAAGTAATCTGTCAGTGAACGAGAGAAGCTCCCAGTTTCACCCACTTTCTTGTTATTTTCCTCTATGACAACATCCACATAAAACAAGCAGAGCCCAATCTCCAAGCAGCATAAACAAGCTCTGATCTGCTCAAAGGCTGCTGGTATTGAACGTAAACCCACCTACACTGACCTCCCTTCTTTCCAGGAATTCTAAAACTTAAACAACATGAAACCAAACCACTTGCTACACCCACCCAAACATCAGTCCATCAGAGAGTAGATAAGATATCTTAACTCAATGACCACAGCTACGGGACACCCTGAATCCAACTCACACCAAGTTCACACTCAATAAATCCAACTACACTCAAACTAAGTTAAAGTTAACTCAAACTAAATTGCAGATTGCCTGCAGCTACATAATTTGATGTAATACTTTCCTCTCATCTTTATTTTTTTTTCTGTCTATAGTTAAGATGAAGAAGATAAATTATCATGCAAGGTCTTATAAAAACTTTTAAAGCCTACTATGTGTTTTGGATCCATTGATAAAATGTACAGTTATAATGCATTGGCATATGCATCATTATTGCACAGAGATCTGCAGCTGTCTGAAGCAACTCGTTTTAAAACAAACAAACAAGCAAACAAACAAACCCTCAAAAGAAATTGGTCAAAAGTGTTTTTTTTTTTTGCAATGCAAGATCAGCATGGTCAAAACA